GCAAACTGAGCATGCAATATTTTCTCGTGTTGTATGTTTACTCTTTTCGCTTTTATTTAATGTCCATGTTGGTCGGGACCTGGCTCTTGTGGCANTTTTTTTTTTCAGATGAAGCTACATTTATTACCATTTACAAACATTTATTACCATTTACCTATAGCATGTCGTATGCAACATTATATTATCTATATATATATAAACCTATATTTTTATTTTCTCACATCTCTCTTGAACTGCCCTCGACGATTCAGTGCCGTGAGTTATTTTCGGTTAGTTTACATTGATTTGGCGAGTCTTTAAAGTTAGGCCAATGAAGTTGCAAGACAGTTGAAACGATTCCTTTGGCTGACAACGCGACTCGAGTGTTTGGCTAGCTGTGCTGCTGTTGTTGTTGTTCCTGTTGTTGTTGCGTCGTCTCTGTGTGCACAATAATTTGCATACACACAGATACACACCAACACTCGTGCAGCATTTGCCTCTTGGCAAACTGAGCATGCAATATTTTCTCGTGTTGTATGTTTACTCTTTTCGCTTTTATTTAATGTCCATGTTGGTCGGGACCTGGCTCTTGTGGCATTTGTTGTTGTTGTTGTTGCTGTTTCGCTGCTTTTATTGTTGTTTTTGTAGCTGCTTTGCTTGTTGCGTTTACAGCAAAATTCTAAACAAATTGCTTCCGCACCTGCAGCTAAGAAAATCAATGCAGAAAACAAAAATCCACAATGCAGCATACACACAGACTGGGGATCAGAGAACTATAAATATATATGTATATGTGTATGCATATATAGTTGATCTCTTTGTATGGCCAGCTAGCCGCACTTCAAAACTGAATTCAAAAAGAGAATTCCAATCAAAATAAAACATTTCCCAGGCCGAAAGAAAGTGCCGGGGCTCTGACTCTCATATCGTATCATATCATATCGTAATCCTGACAATAGGCCACTAAACTTTAGCAATAACAATGCGAACAGAACACAACTAATATTTACAAAAGAAAGGGTAAGTGCGACCAACACGAAGAAAGAGACCATAACACACAGACACATACACACAAACACACCTATTTTCCGTTCCCCAAATTTGGTTTTTCTTTTCTTTTTAAGTGCGCGCGTCCCTTTGGGCGCTAACGAAATTACGTGGAAGGGCAGCAAATGTGCAGCAGGCTCTAAAGAAATTTACGATCGGCATTTGGATTTGAATTTATGAAAAACCTTCTTTCTTTTTACACCTGAAAAAAATAGACCCGAAAAAAAACAGAAACAGAAAATAGACATAGAGGAACATCTTTAGAGATGCTTAACTGCTTTTCTTGGGAGTCTGGCCGAGCATCGACTCTCGCTTGGCTTGGTGACTGTGTTTCTTGTTAACATATGCTCGGAAAAGAAGAAAGAGAGATAAAATACTGATACGCTACAGATACTGAAGAAGAACAAAAAAAACGAAGAATAACAAAAACAACAAACAACAAACAGAAGACTTAGGCAACGAACTTGCTCGCATGTGATTTGATAAGCATGCTGGGAAAAGAGGCAAATTTTGTATAAACTTTGAGGCGACTCGACTGTTCATACTAGGCTGCTGGCAATAATTTAAACTTTTTTTTTTATTTTTTATTCGTAAGTCAATTCATTTAACGATTTACTGATTAATTTAACAAACTGGTCAATGGCTCTGTCCCTGTCCATATTGACATTGACGAAGTGCAGAACTTTGTCTGGTTTGCGTATGGTTTC